AAAAAAAAAAAAAAAAAAAAAAAAAAAATTATGTAAATGCATATAATAGAAACATTATTTTAATGGTTCATATATTAAAATAAAATTAAAATTATTTAAATTTGGTTGTGTTTTTTTTTTTAATTGAACTATATATATTTAACAAAGTTTAAATAAATACAAATCATTTAATTATATTAATATTATCATTTTTAATAAAAATGGAAAAAAAAAAAAAAAAAAAAATGCAGTGATAAACTATATTTAAAAATAACAAATGATTAATTAATTGGTATATTTTGTCTTCTTATTATTGTTCTTGTTTTAGTAACCATTTCCTAAATGATAAAAAAAAATAAAATAAAATGATTTACATTTGTTTAATTTAGTAACATAAGTAAAATTTAATATAATATTTTTTATTTTATTTTTTTTTTTAATATACTAACAAAAATTGTGGTGTTTTAAAAATTTGTGTATTTTTTGAAATGGGCATAAGGGGGAAAACATTAGTAAAAAAAAAATAAATATGTCCCACTAGTATTCCAAAAAAATTATCATTAGAATTGTAATCAACAATTAATGACAATAATGTTAATACCCTAAAAAAAAAAATAAAAAAAAAAAAAAAAAAATAATAAAGGTTATATATTTTTAATATGTAATTATAATGTTTGTATAAAACAATAATTAAATAACACACAAATATAAATTTAAAATATGAATAAAAAAATACCAAGGTAAGTAAGAAGCTTTAATTGTAAAAAAAAAAATTGTTAATCTTGTTGAAGAGTTATTTTTACTCCATACATATGTTATAACATTTATTATACAACTGCTATAAAAATATACACCCCCAAATATATATGAAACAACCTATAAACAGAAAAAAGAAAAAAAAAAAATTATTAATTTTTAAACATTATTGACGTATAATAATTTTACTTTTCTAATATTTTTTATCACATTTTTAATATCTTATTATTTTATTTTATCTTTATTAAAATTAATTACTAATAGCATTAAACAGGATACAATAAGCATCCATAAGAAATCAGCAGAATTATTTCTAAAAGTTACATCTTCTAATGAACTACAGTAATATATTCTATAAAAGAGGAAAAATATATTAATAGCATTTTATAATGATAATATTCTACTAAAAAAATATAAGAATGTAAGTGTAAAAAAAAAAAAGGAAAATTTAGGGGTAATTTTATGTGAAAATTAAAATGTCTAAAATTATAAATAGATACATAATAAAAAAAAGATAAAAAGAAGATTCTTTTAATATATTGTGTAAACATTTATATATATATGAAATATATAAAAAGAAATTAATTTTTTTTTTTTTTTTTTTCTGTTTTTTTAAAATTTTTCAAATTACAAAACATAAGCATCCCAAAAAAAGTGTAAGCCAAACGAGCCAAAATACAAAAAGCAAGTTACAAGTCTCCAATACTAAATTAAAAGTAATAATTATAATTTTTTATTTTTTTATTAAAAATAAATAAAATTTACATTTGTACAATATTATTAATTATATAAAATATATTTCATTCTTTTAATAATAATACTTGATGATCATTTAATACTAGATTCCAGTTTAAATATAAACTTAAAGGTGAAATCACATCAAGAGAACATAATACCATTAAAATTGAAGAAAGAATAAGGTATATACGAGTTATTAAAGGAATACTACTTAATAACTCACCTAACTGAACCATTTTTTCTCTATTTATTTATAAAAAATTAAAATTTATCTAAATTTTTTATCGTCATGTATTTCCTTATATTATTTGTGAATCACATTTTTTCTTTTATATATACACATACGAAGTTTTTTGTTTTTTTTTTTTACTTTTATTATTTTATTTCTTAAAAAAAAAAAAAAAAAAAAAAAAAAAAAAAAAAAA